AACAAAAACAATATCTAGGCTGATATGATTAAGATCTCATGTGAGATCAGTAAGTGTGGAATCAATGCATAATACTGAGTTGATCTTTAATATGATTAGCTGAGCTTGTAACCACTCTAGACACTGCATTTATTTTCAAGCTTTTTCATCAAACTTGTTTAAATAGGCTTAATTCACCAAGATCTCTGATGTGTATAGTTAGGAGGAGTATCCATGCTTACTGATGGTGCATTTTTATGTCTGATAATCAAGACATGTACTGCATTTTAATATGAGCAAATTTCCTAATAAAAATAATGTTTTTCACTACATGTACTAGCAAGATTTCCTAATAACAATGAGATAATTTTGCATTTGATTCACTGAGCTTACCACTTGAGAGATTGTATTTATAACCCAACTTTAATCAGACTTGGTAAATAGATTTCTAATTTCCAGATTTTGACAGGTCTTTTTATAATGAGTAAAACATGCTTACTTATAAGGTGAGCTTGCATATAATTGGTTGAGTTTTTAATACTTTTTAGACTATTTGTATAGGGTGTTGATCAAACTTGGTATAAATAGGCCTTTGTCATTGAGATCTTGGTTGAGGATAAGTGGAATTTGTACATATTGATGATGTGGCTTTGCATCTGATTAGCTGAGCTCAGCAACTATATTTCGAATGAGATTGTAATTAGACTTGTTAAATAGTTTAATAGTATGAAGATAATGAATGTCTTGTATGTGATGACCTGCTACTGTTTTGGAGACAGAATTACAATTGAATTTTACTCCACTTTCGTAAATATGTTTTATTTATGCTGAAGAATTATATATATTAATGAGATGCTTTACATTTGATCGACTGAGGTTGTTACTTTCTGATAGTTTGTAAAAACAACTGTAAATTGGTTCATATTATTAGGATCTTCGATTAATTTGAACAGTAGGTTATGCATATTAATTATTCCTTTAGCTTTAGAAATAATTTTTGTCAGGTATCAGGAAGGAAAAAGAATCTTACTGGATATGCCATCTTAGAACATTGAAACCAAGTGATCTAAACCAAGAAGACTAGAAAAAGAAAGCTATGCACTGGTAGAATTATCCTTTGCAGCCGACACATTTTCTTTTCAAATTTTTCTAAATCTTCTTAGTATCCTTTAAGTACTACTATAAGAATAAAATATCTGTAATAGAATCAAATGTCTGGGATATAATTTGCATTACAAAAATGTACACAAAGTAACAGATGTCGCTAAGCTCATAGATTTCTAGGTAAATACAAATATTTCTCAGTATCCGCAACAAGTCAGTATAGGTTGCTTGAGACATAATGCATCAATATGTTTATTTCATGTAGAAACAGCCATGTTGAATTTTACAAACACTTTTTTTATGTTTTATTTGTTTGTTTTGTCTATGTTTTGTATATGCCTTTGAAAAAGACTCATTAAGAGACAAAAGCGCTCAGGCTAGTTAGATATTAGTTTTGCACTGTTCGTCATCAGTTTTTTGCATCTTGTTTGTTTTGTCTATGTTTTGTATATGCCTTTGAAAAAGACTCATTAAGAGACGAAAGCGCTCAGGCTAGTTAGATATTAGTTTTGCACTGTTCGTCATCAGTTTTTTGCATCTATATATATATATATATATATATATATATATATATATATATATATATATATATATATATATATATATATATATATATATATATATATATTATTTCTTTAATAAAAATTTCAGGAAGATTTGTTTTGATATCATCAAGAAAGGAACTACAGGAGATATGACACCTTTTACATTCATTTCATATTTCTGTGGGTATGTACACCTATTTAATATAAGTTCATGATATCATACACAACAAGTACAGTGATCCATTTTTTATAAGGTAACCCCTTCAGTAATGAAAAATATGGCCTTAAAATGCTGGTGTCCCCACATGAGAGGGATAGATTAAAATACACTTCCGTGAATCACTTTAAATTCAAGGGTACCATATTTATCACATATCTTTGAACACTGTATTTGTTAGGACACCATAAGCTAATTTTTTATGGAATTTTTGTGCACTATGTTAACTTCTGGGAAAGATCATTTTTTTTTAGTTGTAAGTTGTGGGACACCTTTTAAATCATTCAAAAATTACGTTGAAAAAATACTCTGCAACATGTATTATTTTTTATTAAATATAAAACTTATGTATTGAGATAAAACTCTTTAGTCCACTGCAGCATCATCTCATAAGCCCAACGATTCTCCTGCACACAGACGAATTCCATCCTTTAGGTGCATGAACACATACTGTGAAAAATTTTAGTTGGAGGCCAAAAATCTCCTGAAATGGAAACTGCAAGGACTAAAGTCAGTTTTTTTTAAGAAATTCGGTACTAGTCTTGCTAAATTCTCACTCTTTCTACCCTCAGTTTATTGACAGTCCATCCAGGAATGAGATAAAATGCATCTATGTTAATGTTCATGTGAAATTATCTTCTCTTTTGGCTTTTACAAATTAATTTAATGATTTTATTTTTTTTCAATTCTTCTGGGTGATGCTTGGTTATTGATGTCCATGCATGAAGCACTATTCGTTGTGTAAACAACCACAGAGTAGACATGGACTCTGTCTGCTGTGTGTGACCCCTGCATGCTCTTTGGAGGTTTATGGATTGAAAGAGGTTGAGAAAGAAAGAGAGAGGCATCAATTTATTGAAGTAATTATCATACACATTTCATAGTTCTAATAAAAATTTATGTAATAGGTATGATGCCAAATAAAATTTTAGATTAAATTAACATAGTCACCATGTCTCCAAAACTGTACTAATACTACTGTACTTTTTTCATTTACAAAAGGCTGATTGACCTTTTGCAACAAGTTTGTTTTTACTTTATTTAGAGAAATCTGAACAAACTTGCGCACTTACTTGATGAGACTTTCTTGATCTTTTCTCTGCAAAGTTATCCTACTGTTTAAAAGTAATCCTCTAAACGTATGTAATTTAAATTTCTGATGACATCCACTACTGTTGCAAGAAAACCACAACAAAACAAAAAAAACTGAATCTACACTTAAATGAATACCACATGTTCAGTCTAAGAAAAGAAATTAACCAGTTCATGAGGCTGATTATATATGTACACATATACAAACTTTAGTCCAATTCTGTCTGCATTTATACTGTATGGGTGTGGTCATTTAATTTATTGGTTTTTTTGTATTGGGGCATTTTTCTATTCTTTCATTCATCACATGATAAACTTGTTTCAAATAAAATATAACCCTTTGGAAACTTAAATGGTCTCCCACTAATTAAGATTGTAAACACTGTTAAAAAATTAGCATGGAAGATGATGTCAATTTCAGCATCAGAAAGGTGCATTTCCAACACCAAGCCATCTGACTTGGTACATTGTAGTTTACATCACCAATTATGGTCAGTTCATTAAAAATGGAAGTTTGGTAATTATTCCTAATTATTCTGACAAAAGTGTATTGTTGAAATGAAGAAAAATGTGGAAAATTGTCAAATATTAATTGTTCAACAAAATTGAGACATTCCACATTTGTCCTAATTTTTGTCCATTCTTGTAAGGAAAAATATAAAAACACAATTTTTATCAATAAAAAAAATCTAATCAGTCATATGGAAACAATAGATCAATAATCTAGTCATAGTATAGATCAAGATGCTTAATTATTTTCAGTGCATTTGTGACTGTTGGAGTGTTTGGCTATTGAGACAAAAAAATAAAACATCCAAACCATTTTTCTTTCTATAGTTTAAGCAGATTTCTAGTATTTGCAGCTAAAATAGAATAATTGGAAGTAATGGGATTGATTCTTCATCTCTCTCAGTTGATAAAATGATGGGTGTTAAATTTATATTTCTCTAATGTGATGTAATGACATTACATAAATATAAGACCTATCAGTAGCAGTATTTCCAAATTTGGTTTCTACATTTATCTCGAATTGGTTTAGTGCTGTCTACTGCATTATTACAGAATCCTCAAGGGAAAAAAAAAAATCTTCAGTAAGTGCTACTGGATGTATTTTGACTACATTTTGTGCAATGAATCTTATTTTAAAACAATGTCTATACTGTGTATTATCAGAATGTACAGATCATGCAATATACATGTTAAGTATTTTATGAAATTCTTTATTATTGCACACTCTGCAGTGAAAAAAAAGATAGATCTGAAATGTTTTGCAACAAAATTGCATTCACACTTGACTGATATAAAACAATATTGCACAAGTTCTGATAGTTACCCCATGCATGTGCAAGGTCGGATGAGGTCAAGTGTTGGGGTGGGGGTGGTTTCCAAAATTTCAAAAGGACTCTGAATTACTTTGAAAGGGCACCAAAGCAAACTCTGTGTGACTATTTATTCGAAGCATGTACAATACCCAATAGACATGTGCAAGAATAAAATGGTCAAATTTCAAGTGACAGGTGACTGTACATTTGTGAGTGGGTGTATGTGTGTTTTTTAGGGGGGGGGCAGATGAGATCTCAATAATATCTTGTGCTATTTCTTCTGATACCCAATTACAGGATTATATAGTGGTGTTTTCTTTTTTTAAATTTATCTTGTGATGAATGAAACAATGCAAATTATCCCAGTTGCAAAGAACAATCTAGCCCAAAATATTAAATGGCAATTCCCTTGCAGTACACATGCAGTTAAAATTAAACAAGAATATATTCAGCACTATGACTTGGTCATTACATGATTTGTAAATTCAGAATTTGCTCTTGCTTCTTTTGTTTGTTTTTTTTTTAACCAAAATTGGCTCTGAATGGAGTTGCCTAAACGTTATAGGATTCCTTTTTTTTTAACATTAAGGTAAGTTTACATGTTCAAGAAAAGATCAATATGGTGTGCTTCTTGTCAAGTAGGTGCATATGTTCAGATTTCTTTGAATAAAGTAAAAAAAAAGTGGAAACATATTGCAAAAGAAGTTGATTAACCACTCTCGACGTGTACAGAATATAACTGCTTGGGTGGCCTAGTTGTTAGAGCATCTGCCTCGCATGTGGGAGATCGTGGGTTCGATCCCAGGTTGAGTTTACAAAAATGGTACTGGTCTGCCTGATGTCAGAATAATGTGACTGGGTGGGACATCATGCTACATGTATTCGGCATGATGCCCCAGTGCTAGACATCACTATAAACTGCATCACTGCAGACATTGTATCCATATGACTGAAAAATTGTTAAAGCTATGTTTAAAGTCATAATTACATCATATCACATGTACAGAATAATTTTTTTTATTATTATTTTATTCTCACAATATATCTGACATAAATTAAGATCACTTGATTCTTGAAATAGTATCTGATAGTAAATCACATGACTTCTTGGTCTTTCTGTGCGGGTGGTCATCAATCATTGACTATTCAAATGTCAATCAGTAAAACTTGCGTTTTGTTAATGCATGGACCATAGTTTGAACTATATGTATTAAGTGCATCATGTAAAGTCATTTGTATGATAGAAAAGCACCTTTCCCAACCTGAAGCTGACATCATCGTCTGATGGTAACATTTTTTGATAGCGTTTACAATGGTCACCTCTTTTAATACTGCCATTAGTGAAAATATAGTGCTATACTTCTTAAATAGATGTCCATACTGAATATGGATTTGGCTGCAAGACTTCATCATGTTGGGCCTAAATGAAAAGGGTGCTAATCAGCATAACAGCCATCAATAAAATCTTATTCAAATGATTTTTTGCATACAGGACAAAAAAATCCTGAAATTTTATGAGACAGTCTTAAAATGGTGCCTTCAAAATGGCAGCCTTGATGATCCTCTTGAAAAACTTGATATGGCAGTGTATTTTTTGCTCTGCTAGTAATAGACCAGATGAGCTTATGCAGTGGCCTTTCATCTGTTTACAGTGTCCATCATTCATTAACACAATTTGTTATCTCTTGTCCATAACTACTGTGAGGATTGCCATGAAGCCTTCTAAAACAGATTTCTTTAAAGGTGTAGTTGGTCCTAATTGAAAATAGTGCACCTTGGTCATCCAGTATGGCCACCATGGCAGCCATGTTAAATATGGTCTAGTTGGTCCTAATTGAAAATAGTGCGCCTTGGTCATCCAGTATGGCCACCATAGCAGCCATGTTAAATATGGTCTAGTTGGTCCTAATTGAAAATAGTGCAACTCAGTCATCCAATATGGCCACCATAGCAGCCATGTTAAATATGGTCAAGTTGGTCCTAATTGAAAATAGTGCGCCTTGGTCATCCAGTATGGCCACCATAGCAGCCATGTTAAATATGGTCTAGTTGGTCCTAATTGAAAATAGTGCAACTCAGTCATCCAGTATGGCCACCATGGCAGCCATGTTAAATATGGTCTAGTTGGTCCTAATTGAAAATAGTGCAACTCAGTCATCCAATATGGCCACCATAGCAGCCATGTTAAATATGGTCAAGTTGGTCCTAATTGAAAATAGTGCAACTCAGTCATCCAGTATGGCCACCATAGCAGCCATATTGAATATCTTACTGTTGTTCAACATCCCTGAATGGATAGTCATATAGACATGGTGTTTTCAGTGAAACATCTGGCAGCCATGGTGGCTCCTCATCTCTGAATGGATTATAAGACACATAGAAATGGTGTTTTCAGTGAAACATCTGGCAGCCATGGTGGCTCCTCATCTCTGAATGGATAGACACATAGACATGGTGTTTTGAATGAAACATCTGGGTGCCATGGTTGCATCTTGAAAATTATTTTATTGCCACTCCTATTGAATGAATGTTCATATTGGAATGGGCTTTTCACTGTAAGATTAAATTGTAGAGTCAAGTTGGTGGTAAATGAAAATGTTGCCCTGCATAGATCTGATATGGCTGTTACAATTGACATAAGAAAAATTGAGTTATCAAAAATCTATCAGGATTAATGGTAATATCTTTTAGCAGAAGTCTTGTGATGTCTCTTTGGTACTAAATTAAGATAGTGCCTATCTGACTTTGAGCATGGTGTTTTATCCAAAAGACTGTTTATCATGTTTGGTTGTACATCTTGAAAAAATCTTATTGGGGTACTTTTCTTAAAGAGATGACTTTTTGCAAAATGTGGTTTTCACTTGAAAAATGATTTCTTATGATATCTAGTTAGAGTCAAAAAAGTTATTATCTCATATTCAGTATAGCTACTATTCTGCCATCTTGAAAATCTTGTAAAAGCCACTTCTTCTGAATGGATAGTTTGAATGATATATGGTTTTCACTAAAAAGACTTCTTATGAATTCTATTTGGTACTAAATAAAAATGATGCTTATGGGACCTCCAACATGATGTACATGTTGCCATCTTGAAACTCATTATCACATATTCCTGTTTGAATGGTAATTATTGACATCCACTTTAACTCAAATATATTCAAAATGTGAAAATGATGTCGATGTGACCTTGCGAATTCCTAAATTGGGGAATATGTAATGTTATCTTTACAATGTGACCTTGGGGAATAAATTGTTATCTTCACAATGAAATCATTATATGTTAGACTTTTACACAATGAAATCATTATATGTTAGACTTTTACACAATGAAATCATTATATGTTAGACTTTTACACAATGAAATCATTATATGTTAGACTTTTACACAATGAAATCATTATATGTTTGACTTTTACACAATGAAATCATTATATGTTAGACTTTTATACAATGAAATCATTATATCTTAGATTTTTTCACAATGAAATCATTATATGTTAGACTTTTACACAATGAAATCATTATATGTTAGACTTTTACACAATGAAATCATTATATGTTAGACTTTTACACAATGAAATCATTATATGTTAGACTTTTACACAATGAAATCATTATATGTTAGACTTTTACACAATGAAATCATTATATGTTAGACTTTTACACAATGAAATCATTATATATTAGACTTTTACACAATGAAATCATTATATGTTAGACTTTTACACAATGAAATCATTATATGTTAGACTTTTACACAATGAAATCATTATATGTTAGACTTTTACACAATGAAATCATTATATGTTAGACTTTTACATAATGAAATCATTATATGTTAGACTTTTACACAATGAAATCATTATATGTTAGACTTTTACACAATGAAATCATTATATGTTAGACTTTTACACAATGAAATCATTATATGTTAGACTTTTACACAATGAAATCATTATATGTTAGACTTTTACACAATGAAATCATTATATGTTAGACTTTTACACAATGAAATCATTATATGTTAGACTTTTACACAATGAAATTATTATATGTTAGACTTTTACACAATGAAATCATTATATGTTAGACTTTTACACAATGAAATCATTATATGTTAGTATTTTACACAATGAAATCATTATATGTTAGACTTTTACACAATGAAATCATTATATGTTAGACTTTTATACAATGAAATCATTATATGTTAGACTTTTACACAATGAAATCATTATATGTTAGACTTTTACACAATGAAATCATTATATGTTAGACTTTTACACAATGAAATCATTATATGTTAGACTTTTACACAATGAAATCATTATATGTTAGACTTTTACACAATGAAATCATTATATGTTAGACTTTTACACAATGAAATCATTATATGTTAGACTTTTACACAATGAAATCATTATATGTTAGACTTTTACACAATGAAATCATTATATGTTAGACTTTTACACAATGAAATCATTATATGTTAGACTTTTACACAATGAAATCATTATATGTTAGACTTTTACACAATGAAATCATTATATGTTAGACTTTTACACAATGAAATCATTATATGTTAGACTTTTACACAATGAAATCATTATATGTTAGACTTTTACACAATGAAATCATTATATGTTAGACTTTTACACAATGAAATCATTATATGTTAGACTTTTACACAATGAAATCATTATATGTTAGACTTTTACACAATGAAATCATTATATGTTAGACTTTTACACAATGAAATCATTATATGTTAGACTTTTACACAATGAAATCATTATTTGTTAGACTTTTACACAATGAAATCATTATATGTTAGACTTTTACACAATGAAATCATTATATGTTAGACTTTTACACAATGAAATCATTATATGTTAGACTTTTACACAATGAAATCATTATATGTTAGACTTTTACACAATGAAATCATTATATGTTAGACTTTTACACAATGAAATCATTATATGTTAGACTTTTACACAATGAAATCATTATATGTTAGACTTTTACACAATGAAATCATTATATGTTAGACTTTTACACAATGAAATCATTATATGTTAGACTTTTACACAATGAAATCATTATATGTTAGACTTTTACACAATGAAATCATTATATGTTAGACTTTTACACAATGAAATCATTATATGTTAGACTTTTACACAATGAAATCATTATTTGTTAGACTTTTACACAATGAAATCATTATATGTTAGACTTTTACACAATGAAATCATTATATGTTAGACTTTTACACAATGAAATCATTATATGTTAGACTTTTACACAATGAAATCATTATATGTTAGACTTTTACACAATGAAATCATTATATGTTAGACTTTTACACAATGAAATCATTATATGTTAGCCTTTTATACAATGAAATTATGATTTGTTGCATCACTCAGTTCATGATATCTAGTACCAGACATTCAAGTTATATGCATTATTATAACATTTTATATTATTATATTATTTATATTATTATATATTTATATTATTATTATTATATATTTATATTTATATTATTATATTATTTGCTAAGTAGGTAGAACAATATTATATTAATAAGTAAAACATTATTAAGTTGTAAATCACAGACATAGAATGTATATAAAATACAACAGTACACTATCAATGAGCAGAATTAAAGTATTATAAATTCACATGTATAATATGCACACATGTATAGTATGCACCCAGCCTTGTGGTGCCATCTTTGACTTGTTCTACAATAAAACTTCAATAAAGTTACATCTAGGTATAATATGCAACCCGAGTTTAGAAAG